TTGGATATTTAAGTTTCATTGATAACTCAATTCTCCAAGTTGTTCTCTCTGCTGTGAGAATTGAACTTAAAACCAAATGAACTAATAACATGACAGTTTTGGATCAATCAACCAGCCAGCGCTTTTTTTCCACTGGGCCATGTGTCCTTAGGGACATTAGCAAGTGAATTTATTTTATTAAAAAAATACATTATAAACCTAATGTCATTTGATTTTTTTACCAAAGCTCATATTACAATTTGATTTTTTTCGCGATTGTCGACGTTTCCTATAGATTTCTGTAGTACTAGTTTCCATATTGTATTCATTCCTATGCATGGTCGGCTTAGGAGATATTTGTAGCCGAACATATCGACTGATTCCTTAACTTTTCATATTTTCCAGTGAACTAAATAAAAAGTTCGGTTCGAAATTCCAACAAATATCACCTGATATCGCCCTGCTTGCTTATTGATTTAAATTGATATTAACTGTGTTTGAATCTTTAGATTTTAGTAGTTAATGTTTTAAATGAAATTCAGTTACTGGATAAGATCTAACTATTCTTTTTAAATAAAGATATACGATAAAGTGGAACCTGAAACCAAATGTCTTTCAATCTAATATTCTACTACTAATCTTTCCTGAAAAGTGTATTTGTCACGTCACAAATTCGTGAAGTCGATGTACCAAAGAGGAAAGTTTACCAAAACAATTACTGTGAGAAGATTTATAGAACAAATACAGGGAAGCTACGTTACGGTGGGGAAACCGAGATGCCAGGCCAGGACCGATAATGTTGCTGATTCTTGTTTAGATTTTGTCAAGAATTTTGAGAAATACAGCAGAAACATCAGACCATATGTAACTGCAATATTCAATGTACGGAAGAATGTTATACTTATAAATGTGCATTTTAGATTTTGTCGAGAAAAATTGCCTCGTCTGACATAATGAACCAATTTTCTTAGCAGCAGACTTAACAATGAACTCATGTCAGGGAAAAAACAATTCAATGTCTAGAAATGAATATTATGCCGAAGAAATGTATTATTACCAGTTTATGAAACTATTGGAATAACCATCATAATGAGTTTTAAGAAATTTAAATAGTACAATAAAATGTGTTAAAAACAGTAACACCTTTCTTTGATTATAAGTGTTACATTTTTGGAACTTTAAAAACTTAATATCTAATTTAGCACCTCCACTTTTAACATCTGATTTAGCCACTCCTACTTTTTCTGCTGTTCCGCCCGATTTGATTGTTATTGGGTTGGTGTATAATTATCAGGCGTTTTTTAAAATAATATTTATAATGAAAAAAGAAACATAACAATTCAACAATAACATTTTTAAATGATTATTCCGAAGCTTATCATTATTGACACGCATTTTTATAACATGAAAATAAAATAATATTTTTAGTAAAAAAAAGTAAAAAAAAAAAAAACAGCAATTTTATTAACAAATAACCTGCCTAGGAAAACGCTTGATAATTATGTACCAACAGTTCTTGTTAAATATTGTTTTTTTTAAGAAATATATAAAGAAATTGGTCTAAGTAAATCTTATACAGAATTTTTTTAAAGTGTGATTCGTGATTCTTTCAATTTTACATCAGTTAACTAACAAATGTGTTTGCTGTAATGGATAAATATTGCTTTATCAGCCAGGTTTATCAATAAAAGTTTATGTTTAGCACAATTCACTCAATCAAATGTTGGCTTTTCTGATGTTAATTTTTAGCAAAATGATTGGGTAAAATTTATGGTATGAGGATTTATCATTATTTACTATCATTCTAATGTGCTCGTCTTTGTTATTATCACGACGTTTCAGTTGTTCCCTTGGAACTTCTTCAGGAAATTTAGAACTGAACCCTTTATTTAATCTTCGTGGTTAGATTGTTCTCATTTGGTTGTCCTGCTGAAGAAAATCTTGTCTTGATTGAATCCATTGATAGAACTGCTGCTAAGAAAGTCAGATCATTGTGTTGTGTTAGACAATTTTTCTCTTCGGAATCTATCTTGCATATCTATGAATCCATGCTTTGAATACTGCAGCCACATCTGGTCAAGTGAACCTGCTGTATACTTAGAAATTTTTGTTAAAATCCAAAGAAGAAACAGCAATATTATTAGTCCTGACCTGGCACCTCGGCTTCATTCACTTTCCCACCGCCGTAATGTAGCTTTCCTGTGCCTTTTCTGTAAATACTTTCGTGGTAATTCTTCGGATGAACTCTTCGCTATGGCACCTAGACTTTATGAATTTAAGCGCAGTACAAGATTGGTGGCAAGATCTCATCAATTCGCCGTTGAATTGGCTAGATGTAACCGTAAGTTCTATGCTAACAGATTCTTTTCTCGAGAGAACAGGTGCTGAGTCTACGGAATATGGCATTAATTACCGAATTGAATATACCTGAAGGGGTAAGCTTCTCATATCACTTCAACGAAAAGAAAGTTTGTAATTTAAGTTTCTATTCAATTCTTATTTTATACCTTAAAATGTAAAAAGAAAAAAAAACTCTCTCTGATACTAACCATAATTCTTTGTTAAAATCAGTTTCATTTATAATAATATATACACACAGTGAAAATGTCGAATTTACAACGACGAAATTTTGATGAAAACAAAGCATTGTGGACACTTGTCCATATTCTACCAATAATAAATTCGGCGATGGAAAAGTCGTAACTATTTACAACGTTCGGACTGTTCTTCATCTTTATTGTCATATTCTCGACGTTTCGGCCATTTTACGCTACGGCCTTCTTCAGGTGATTGGAATTTCGAACTGAACCCTTTATTTCATCCACCGGAGGAGATTGTTCTAGTTCCATGTGCCATGACTTTTCTGGATGTCTCAGTTATCTCCCTTTTGTTCACCACTGCAGTAGCCAGGTATTGAACTCACAATTCTTTGGGTCATGTCACAGGTTCCAATTAATTCTTTTATCCACTGTGCCATGTGCCCTTGTGGAGCACAGTCCAAACAATGTAAATAATGCAAATAATTACAATACTTCATTTCAGTAATATAAAAAGATAAATAAGTAACTGTTTTAACCTACCAAAAGAAATTTGTTAAAATCAATCTAAATAAAACAAGTTTTCTAGCGTCTCAGTAAACATTTACTCCATTTAAAATCCATAATAAATATAGCAATTAACAATTTCGGGGCAAATATTACAGGTATGGAAGAGAATAGAGCTGCCAAGTGTGTTCAAACCTTCATATGAATAATTCTAATGCTACATTCAAGAAGAAAAATTTCAAAGTCTTCTTGATTCATATCCATAAAACACGAATATAACCAGCTGCAGTGACTTGATATGTTCATATATAAATGCTGTGTTCATGTCCAAAACCTGTTTGCAAACAATGCAGCCCTTGCTTACCGAGGCCAGTGCTCTTTTTTCAACAGAGTTAATATGAGATTCTGTTGTAGTATATCATTTTTCAGCCTGAAATTTAAAAAAAAAAAAACAAACAAAAAAAAACACTAAAATTAAACAAAAATAATAAAAAGTACAATTTCTCGAACCGGCTCATTTCCTAATGGATAAACCACCTATCGTCCGGTTTCACACTCATCTTCGGTCTTTTGAACAGGAGTAAAAATTTATCCCTTGTTTCCTCTTTAGGATTGGGTATCTGGTTGCTTCTAAAATCTTCTCCTTCTCTTTCACACCTATTAATCCCTAATTTAGTGGCATTATTGCTTTGCTTGGGGTGAATTGATTAAAAAAAAAACAATATATTTTTAATTCATTTTGGTTAGTTAGCGAACTTTTCAGTATTCATCGTATTAGCAACATAGTCTCATTGTGATAACTTTAGCTTTTATCTACTTGATTAATAAATATATATGATCAAATTGTGTTTTATAAAATTGAATCATAAAATTAGGAATGTACAAATTATGAAATACGCTATTAATAGCCTTTCAGTAAAAAAGTCTTTAAAAGAATCTATATATAATATTCTGTGACTTCCGTCCGTCTGTTCGTCACACTAAAATAGCCATCGAAATCAAATTTTAGGGGAAGTGCAAAGTACAGGTTGTTTTATGACGGTGCGTAGCTTAGTACAATAAATCTTCATTAATTTTTGTGAAAAATTAAAAGTTTTATTATTAATCTTACAAAATATTCCCACTATTTGAAAAACAATGTAATAATTTAAAATAACAAATACTTACTTAATAAAAATGGAATATTGTTTTTTATATATATATATATATATATATATATATATATATATATATATCTTTAAGTTTTTATATATACAAGAATCCAATTTCCGGTCCGCCCCACGTTTGCAAGAGTTATAAATAAATCACAAGGCCAAATGCATCAAAAAGTTGGAATTTGGCTCCAAAAAGAAGTATTTACGCATGACCAGTTGTATGTCGCATGCTCGAGAGTAAGAAATCTTAAGAATATTTTTCGCCGTTAAAAAGGAAAAAAAAAAGAAATTTTCTTAAAATAATATGGTTTACTTTAATGGTAAACATTATTTTTTACTATAAAATTAAATTAAATAAAAGACATTATTAAACCGCAAGTAAGTATTTTTTTAAAATAAATCATTTTATTCAAATTTGAACGAAACGCAGAGTTTGTAAATATCGACAAAAATGTTAGCGATAAATTCAACAATAATAAATACTATGGGGATTTCAATACGCGTTAGCGTGTTGCAAAAAAAAATCTAGTTTCTCAAAATTGCTGGCGGGTAGACACTGTTTGAAACTTTGCAATTCTTGTTTCGTGTTTTTTCATCGACAAGTTGTACAAATACTTTGGCTGGAAAATCGTTGAATCTCGGTCTCTTTTCCCTCTCGGGATAAAGTCTGTCCGCTGCTCGGACATTGTCATCACTCACCGTGCTAGACGCAAAGTTAGTTGGTGAGGAAGGAATGATGGCATGACTGAGAGAAAAGCCGAAAAAAACTTTTAAATATTCAGTGGGTGGCGAGGTTGCATATCGAGCGAAGAAGGGGGAATGATTAATGAAAAGAAACATACGCACATACAACATAAAAAAAAAAGTATGAAAAGAAAAGTAATAAAGAAACGAAGAAATTTTCGACAGTATTTTTTTTTTCCCCTTCCGAACATTTCGATTGTGGTACCCTCATGAAAACTGAGACGGCTTCTCGACAGACAAGTTTGGGATTTCGCTGGACACATCGTAGCCAGTTAGCCAGATGAAGTATCACGAACGGCTGAACGCCAAACAAGCAAATAGAAATAAACACGAAAGAGAACATGGGCGATGACGTTGAAAGAAGTGACCGATTGATGGAGCGTCCATACACATCTGCACAAGTCACGGAGATGCCGCCATTAGCGCCTTGCCGCGTGCTTGTTGGCCATTTGCTTAGGACCACCAAAATATTCAACACGCTTCAATCATCGTTCAGCTGGATTTTTCATTTTGCTTCAGAGAGCGAAAACGGTAGCCAGGAAAAATACGGCTTCAAATAACTTGCTAAGCAATAAATATATGTTTAATGAGCAAGCACGTGCGCTCGTACATTGTATGTTTACCTTCATTTCATTCATTCATTCATTCATTCATTCTATCTATCTATCTATCTATCTATCTATCTATCTATCTATCTCAGTCTGTTCACACACACACATATATATATATATATATATATATATAATCTAAATCTATGACAGTCTGTTCGTATCTCTCTCTATCTCAGTGTATTAATATATCTCTATCTATCCCAGTGTATTCATATCAATCTATCTGTCAAGCTAGCTACCTATCTAGCTAGCTCAGAGATCTATGTATCTATCTATCTGTCTCAGTGTGTTCATATCTATCTGATTCAGTCTATATTTAACAATATGTGAAAAAAATAAAAAAAATACAAACATACGTCTGGACATTTGAATTGTTTTTTTTTTGCATATTGTTATATATTTGTACTCGTATATGTTTACTACGACGTATATAAGTATATGAGATATTTATGTATATTTGTGTGTTTAGGAGTTTTCTTTTTTTATACATTAGATAATGTTATTTTTAAGTGTTAGATTTAGCCTTGACATTTGAATTGGTTTTTTTCTTATTTGTGTATGCGTATATATTTATTCTTCTATCCATTTCTATATATTTAAGTGTCCTGAGTGTTTGATTGATTTGAACCTTTTAAATCCCTTTATTCTACATTCGACACCATCACTTGATAAGACACCAGAAGTGTTGAAACAAAAAGGCTATTTCTGTAGTGATTTTATAACATATTTACATTATAATTTTCGAACAAATAATATTTGCTATACTCTGTATTGAGCACTCTTTTAACAATAGTATTTTTGGGTTATTGGGATTTATTCTATAAATATACTTATATATATATATATATATATATATATATATATATATATATATATATATATATATATATCACAGTTTGTTCGTATCTATCTATCTATTTATCTGATGAAAGTGAATTACGTTATGGTGCTCTTTTTGCACAGACAGTGTCCGACTCAACCTACTATACTTTGCAGTCAACAAAATCAAAACAAAGAACGCACATGTGCGAAATTAAAAAATATAAAATGCCAATAATTTAACAATCGCCATCCTGTATATCTATCTCTCTCTCTCTCTCTATATATATATATATATATATATATATATATATATATATATATATATATATATATATATATATATATATATATATGTGTGTGTGTGTGTGTGTGTGTGTGTGTGTGTGTGTGTGTCTGTGTGTGGTCTCAGTATTAATATTATATTTTGTGGGTTCACATATTTCTGTAGTCACCCTTTTTTTCAAATTTTCATCTATACCGGCTTAGAGATTGAAAGTGTTAATATACTATTACTCACTGACAAGTTCCAACAATAGATACATATATTTAATTGGCATATACAACGCCATAATGCGAAGTAAAAAAAAATCGAGTAAAAAAAGAAAAAACGTAAAGTGCTCAATACACTAAGTAGAGCAAAGTATATACTCTACCATAACGAGACATTATGGATTAAGAAACGCATGAGGAGCAATTTTGACAATCCATTGGGAGTGTATGATGGGGCCGAATTATGTGAGTCGATAGGATGTTTATTATTGAATAACCTAAATGAATTTATTGATCCCAGTAATCATGGCCTGTAAAAGGATGATGGTTTAATCATCGTCGATAACTGTACCCCTAGAAAAAGAGATATCATCCGTAAGAAGTTACACTGGATGTTTAATAAATTTGGATTTAAGTTAGATATACGAAGCAACGTAAAAATCACCTAGACGTTACACTTGTTTTGTGTAATGGCACTATTTTGCCGTTTCGGAAAAGTAACCAACAGGCCTGCTATATTGATGCAGGTTCCAACCACCCAAAACACGTCTTTTTACAAATCCCCAGAAGAAACACGTTTGGGTTATCCAAAAATTCATCCAACGCTAGTTTTTTCAACCAAAACAAACACGATTGCGAAATGGCATTAGAAAAAATGGATACAAAACCAAACAAGTCCATGTGAACACGGATAATTCTTCCAATATATGCGATAGGATGAAAAATAGGACTAGGAAAAAATTGTGGTTTAACCCACCATACAATTTAGCCGTAGACACCAAAATAGGAAAAAGAATTTTTTTAAATATTAAAAAAGAATTTGCACCCACAAAATTTTCAATAGGATTACAGTCAAATTGAGCTACATTTGAATCCCCAATATGGCTAATTGGATTAACAAATATAATAAAAGACTAACAATAAATAAATTGCCAATCCTCCTAAATGTAACTGCAGAAATAAGGCTTCCTGCCCCATTAAGGTTAAGTGTCAGCATGAATGCATTTTTTACAATGTAGAAGTACACAGAAATAAACCTAGTGATTGTCGTGAGAACAAAAAAGTTTATATTGGTTCTACTCAAGGAACTTTTAAAAAAGATATTATAATAACATCAGCAGTTTCAAACATGAAAGTTATAGACATAGTACTAGTCTATCTAACCAATTATGGAATATTAAAAAAATGAAGGAATCGACCCGATTTTAAAATGGGATAAAATAAATGTTATAGTTATAAAGCCGGCAATGGGTATTGCCTTCTCTGCATGGAGGAGAAACTAGCCATAGCTACTTTTAGTAAACCCGATATGTTATTTCACCGGGTGTAAACAGATGAAAACGTGATTACTGGAATAAAAGAATAGTAACTATTCTTTTTTAACATCGTGTGGTTTTATGACAATTTTAGTTTTTAGTGTTTGTTTTTCTAATAAATATGTTCCTTTTTTATATCCTCTTCAGCCACTTCACCCTGAAGCTTAGTTAGGTACTTTCTGGATCTCTAGGATATATATATATATATATATATATATATATATATATATATATATATATATATATATATATATATATATAGAACGTTCGCAGATATACATAGTATATATAAATATACTCTTAAGGTGTGCTATAATTATGGGATAAAGTGCTCAATATCAGAGATAAGGCGTGTGTAAACATAAAAGTGAACATTGAAGTTGATTTGAAAATTTGTAAAACTCTTTATTCTGCATTCAACACCATCACTTGAGAAGACACAAGAAGTATTGAAACAAAATGGCTATTTTGTTGTGATGTCATAACATGTTTATGTTATAATTTTTGAATAAATAATATATATATATATGTGTGTGTGTGTGCGTGTGTGTTTCTGTGTGCGTATGCATGTATGTATATATATATATATATATATATATATATATGCGGCTGAACTATATATGCGTGTTTGCATGCTTTTAAGTCTATGTTAATTTATGTTGCAAAACATATTCATTTACATACACTATATATTTTTAAAAGAAAAAGCTAATTTTGATAAGTCCAGGGACGAAACCTGTTGTTTTTTTTTAGCTTTTTCTTTTAAAAATGTCTTATGGATTTTGCCTTTTCCTATCTATTATTAAATTCTGTACCACAAAAAACATATTCAACTATATATTTAAATTTTACTATACGATTAAAAATAAAAATTACCAATTTTAAATTTTAAATTTAACCTGTATTAATTTTAAAATATTATAAAATTATCCGTTGTCAAGTTTCTTTTTTCATATACTTGTCATTGTAGTTTATGTAACAACGTTTCCCCTATTGAAGGGTGTTTGGTTGATTTGAACCTTTTGAAACTCTTTATTCTACATTCAACACCATCACTTGAGAGGATGCCAGAAGTATTGAAAAAAATGGCTATTTTGTAGTGATGTTATGACATGTTTATGCTATAACTCTTGAAAAAATAATAAAATTAAATATATATATATATATATATATACAGATAGATAGATAGATAGATAGATAGATAGATAGATAGATGTATAATTGTTTGATGCAAATGATACAAAAGTAAAAAAAACTGATTGGTGAAATGCATAACTGTCATAGGATCTGGATAAATGATAAAAAAAACTGGCAGTCAAAACAAAGAGTCTAAAGCAAGTGTACAGCGTCCAACGAAAGAGAGTTGGTGGTCAGCCAAAGCTGCTCAACTCCAAATGGCTGCTGACAAAAAGGACACAAGCCTTTTATGATGGTTTTAGATGGTAAGCATTCTGATCCATTTGATGCCACTAATGGAACTAAGCAAGGCTGTGTCATGGCGCCTGTTTTGTTTGCACTGTTCTTCACGATGATGCTGAGGTATGCTTTTCGTGATACAATAAACTGGCGTTAAATTTCATTTTCGAACTAATGTAGGACTGTTTAGCCATCAGCGTTTTAAATCCAAAACACTTCTACGTACCAGTATTATACGCGATCTACTTTTTGCAGACGACGCTACCCTTGTAGCTAACTCTTTAGAGGAAGCTCAAGATTTACTCAACAGGTTTTCTGTGGCATGCAAGGCATTCGAACTTATCAGCGTCACGAAAACTGAAGTTATTGATCAACGTTGCCCGACACTAAAGCAAATTAGAGGGGTTAAACAGAGACCCTCTGTTCATAAGTTTCCTGAGGTCCCTTTGCAAGTTGATGGTAAGAATCTCAAGTATGTAGAATCTTTCTAATAACTCGGGAGCATGGTAAATTCATGTGCATAACTTGATGACGAGATTGTTAATCTCTTTGCAATAGCCAGTGCTTTCTTTGGTTTGCTGCGTCATACGTTGTGGGACGAAAGGGGAATAAATCTTTGCTCTAAAATCCAAGTGTACAAAGCTATAGTTTTGGCAACTCTTGTATGACTCTGAAACTTGGACACCTTATAGATGGCACACTAATCGATTACATACCTTCCATAAAGGCTGTCTCCGGACAATTCGTAGCCTAACGTTTTGATGAACAAGTGTTAAAATGCAGACCTTTTTGAGAAATGTAAGATTGGTACCATCGTGACCTTCATAATGCAATCACAACTTCGTTAGGTTGGCCATGTGGCAAGGATGAGTGATGATTACATACCAGAAGTTCTTTTCTATAGTGAACTCCATAGTGGTCATAGAAATATTGGTAGACCTTGGCTCAGGTATAAAGATTAAAGATCAGAGTATCGTTCTAGCTGCCATGCCAGAATAATGCACCATCAAAAAGTAAGCATCATTCGACTGCGTGAAACACGAAAGAAAAATAAGACAGCTAACAGTGTTCCTGCTGCACTTGGATACAATACATTCTACTGTACTGTTTGTGGTCTTTTGTGCAATTCTCGAGTCGGTCTCAAAAGTCATGCCCGTCATAGGCATGCAGATAATTAGTTCGTGGTCGTCGGAACCTCATACGTCGAAATAGCATCTTTTGAAGTAATGAAAATATGTTGGATTAAAAAATAAAGCCCATTAATATATATATATATATATATATATATATATATATATATATATATATATATATATATATATGATACCTAGATGAAGTGATAAATACCAGTGTTTGTTACGCTTGTGTTTGTACGATCACATATTATAGTCCTATGAAAAGTGACAAAACCCAGTTTTTGTATGTCACAAAACACAACAGCCAAATGAAATAATTTCTAGAAAAATGGAGTGAATTATGCTGGCTGCACATATGGAGCAATTCAACCATCGAATTTACCGGAAGTCATTTAGAGTAGAATTAGTTTTATGGCCTTTATTGCATCTAAACTATTATATTCTTCGAGGTCAAATGAGCAGTTAGTGTAATGGCTAACGAGTCGGAACGGAAAATTGGTGAGCTGCGTTCGAATTCCGTTCGGGTTCGTTACATTCGCTTTGGGAAAGGAATAACATCTTTTATTTCCTCTCCGCTATGGGTAAAATAGCGTTAATACTGGGATTTCTAGCCCTCGTTAGTAATCAGTCTAGGAGAAGAGTAAATCTGGACACACGTAATATACAGTAATGAAAATGTTTATTACCATTATCAGCAGCACACAATTGTGGACGTTATTGATTCGATTGCGATCGATTCATTCTGTATCAAGGCTTAAAAGTCAAACGAGGCAACTTTTTGTAGAAAATAATTTCTTTTCGTACAATGAAAATAAACAGTTAAAATCCTGACTTTTTACTTTTTCTTTGTAAAACCTTGAGTACCTTCTTTGCGGTGTCTTATGTCGTGGTGTGCATAACCTTTCTAAACATGACAAATCTCCATTTAGTACAAATATTAAGAATATTTTAAACATAAAACGAGGCTCAAATTTGTTAAACGCAGGTTTGTTAATTATAAAGCAAAGCCCAGTTTTTTTTCATTTAAAATGAAGTTAGACACCGCTCAAATGAAACAGCATGAAACTTGAAAATCTGATCAGGCTCAAGTAAAATTGTCTGTTGGCAATTAAAAAGGAAAAATAAAAAGTAAGCATCTTACAGATAAGAATTTTTAAATTTTTCAAGATTAAACTTGATATTTTCACTTGTTTTATATAAAGAAAATACCCTCAACCACCAGTGGTTCGATGTGCGAGGCATTCTTGCCTCACAGAAGTTGAAGAAATAATCCCAAAGCTGATACAACTCATTTCCGGAAAGACTTAATTGCACATGTCAACTAATAGATTTCCAGTCTCTTTTAATGCTGTTTAAACCACAAGTGAAATTCTAAATTCTCTGGAGCTGCTGAGTGCCCTAGAATTAAAAAAAAGAAACAAAAAAATCTAGTCTCTTGAAAGATGTGCTATACAAATATCCTGTGTTAGGCTCAACGGAGGTTGTATTCATTTCCAATATACATATTATTCCATCAAATTTTAAATTTTAATTCAAATGTCTTTTTTATACTAAAGTTCATCCAATAGAAGGCTCAAAAGCAATTCAAGCTAGAGAGTTACAGTTAAAACAGCTGTGACGAATGTGATGCAATATGAGTGAAAGAGAAGTTGGTAGTAAATGAAATTTATGTGTATAAGGAGACATGTGAAGCTCAGATTTAACAAGAATAATCTCTCCAGCTTTAACTAGACTTTTCAATGCTTTTGTTGCGGTTGACTTCATTGGCAGATGGATGATAAATATGGAGACGATCCTAGCGTATTGCAGTGTCGGGATGTGCCTGAAAAAAACATACCACAGGTTGACACAAACCTTGATAGTAAAATGCTGTTGATGAAACTGATCGAAACTGTTGATTATTGATCTAGCAGAAAGTCATAAGTCATCAGGGCCAAGGGTTTGAACCTACTTGCCTTATTCAACAACTGATAACACCATATTATCCGTTATCTCCCCATAACTGTTAAAGTCTGTTCAGTGTTGTTGCAGTATAAGCCGCGTGAATAACTGTGTGCGGGTTCAACAAGCACAAATGTGCCAGAGTAGGTGCCTGCAACAGGAAGTAAATAACCATCTTAAAAGAAATTCATACTAAAATATGGGTGGTCATTCGTGCACGCACGCGCGCGCACGCGCGCGCGCACACACACACACACACACATATATATATATATATATATATTAGTGAATACACAAAATATCCAACATCGATAGAACGACTTGGAGTTTCATGTTATCATATCTATATCTATGTCTATATTGTATGTATTAGTATGGCCGTATGTTGAAGTGCTTCATTCTTTAGTGACACTTAGTCAAACCTTTACAGCTAAGAACCTCCATATTTTCTCCACGGAGTCGGAATAACCTCATTGCCGCTGTATTCCAACTGTAAGAAAAGAGTTCTACTAGGGCAGTTTTGTTTTCCCTAAGAACCGCCGCTTTGTTGACAGATTCCCATGTGGATGCTACAAAATTCAAGGATCATATTTGTTCTTATTCTCAACCCTTAATTTCATAATACACTATTCATTCAGTGAATATTTTACCTTGATTGGTTCTTGAGACATATATTGGGCGAACATTAGTATAAAAATATAAATATTCCTAACACTTTTATGGTATCTTTAAACAGAATCGCTGAGAGAAAAAAAACAGTAAGATATGCGTGCATATATACAAGTCGTCGTCGACTTATGACCTATGTGATTTACGACTGTTTCACTTTCCGACCACGACTGACAATTGGCATGCCTAGTCGTCTGGCCACGGCTGTTCGACGTCTGGCAGCGTGAGTGTTCCCCAACTTGATGTACGATAATTTTCCAGATCCTGGCAGCGTTAACATTCTCTCGAGCGCCTCAAATTCAGCGTCTAATAAGATGTTTTGTATTTGTATGTATTTTCTGTTTTGCAACTAAAATGTTTCCTGTTTTTGCACCTCTATCTTTTAATCAATATTAAACAAAAAACTGTAATGTAGTATGCTGTATTTGATTCATATACGACGAACGTAAAACTAAGAAACGAGAAATAAAACGAGGTTTAGGGAGAAGATACAAATTGTATTAAACGTAAAGAAACCATAAAAATGATAAAAAATACAGTAATACCTAAAGAAATTAATCACAGGCCGATCGATTTACGACGCGTCGATCGCAACCAATCATGTTTGTAAGTCAACGACGACTTCTATATGTATACTTTAAGTGTTTTATAATACGTTCTAATAATTCCTATACACACAACTTCCTAATAATTTCTATACACTTACATTTATATTTATGCAATAACTTACATTTCATGCAATATATATATATATATATATATATATATATGTGTGTGTGTGTGTGTGTGTGTGTGTGTGTATTCTTTGTCTATAAGCAAGAAAAACTTACCTAAATTGCCTGTCGTAGCTAGAATTTAGAATTAGAATTAGAATTTATCTCCCATATTCATGGAAACACATTTCTTAAACTTATTTGTTTTCTACGCCCAAATGCTTAAAAATCCATAATTATAATTTCAGTCATTGCAGATTTTACGATTTAATCCGCTCCCTGTAAAATGATATCAGCTGTTAAAAGATTTTCTGCAAAAAGTATTAAATGTATTTACTGGGATATTTAAAAAAAATATTTTGGGCAGAATTTGATGACGAAGAAATAAGCAGACAATC